AGAACAACATGTTTTTTCTTCAAAACACATATTGGTTTTTTCTCCAACTAATGAATAACAACTAAAGAACAACATGTTTTTCTTTATTTAAATTCAAAATGCACATTGGTTTGTTTCTCTAACTCATGAAGAACAACTAAAGAACAACATTTTCTTCTTTATTTAACTTAAAATACCCATTGATTTTTTTATCTAACTCACAGAGAACAACATAAGTTTATTTTAAATATAAAACATGTTTGGTTCTTGCTTAAAAATAATAACCTACAACATAATTCTTTACATGAATGAGTATTTATGTTTTATATATGTGTATTTTCAATCGCACTTATTTGCATGCTTGTGTGTGTTAAAAAATTTAACCCTGGTAAATTTATCTCACCAGCTTTTAGGTGATATGAAAATTATTGATTTTGAAGGTCATAATAAACTTGATGGAAAAGTTCTGTGGTCATAAATTCAGTAAGTATGGGTTAATTGGATCTAGATAAGTTCATGAAAAACCACCTTAAAAAAAAAAAAACCAAAGGAATTTAGTTGCTGATACTTTAATGATGATCAGAACAAAAGAATGCCAATTGATTACTCTAATTCATTAGATAACACCAGTTGAGAAGATAACAGAATAGGCAAAGAAAAGAAAGATGTACTTCAAAATCTCTTTTTGAGAGTAAAATAATGTCTTTATTATTATAGGAATTGGTGTTTTTTATGTACTAAATGGCATTGTAGAAAATAGGATTATATATTGAAATTATGGGATGGGATTATTGTATATCATCAAATGATTTCTTTTTAGTTGTAATTTCTATTATCTGAGTTTAAAAACAAGTGCGCCCAATTAGTTTGTTTGATGATGGTTCTTGTATGGATTATTACTTTCTGTTAATGAAATCCCATGATTTTTAATACAATAATAACATTTTTCTAGTACAAATGGAAATTATAAAAGGCCAAAATGGCTTGCTTTTTTATACAATCAAGGTTATCTTTTGTTGATATTTTACAAATAAATATAACATAATATAAATAAAATATATAATCTAAATAAATAATAATATAAAATAAAAGGAAATTGGGATGTTTCCATTTGTTTTCTTAGTATTTAATTGCGATATGTAATGGAAAAATTAAATAATAAAAGATAATCTTTTGTATTATTCAACTAAGAGAAAAATACATGATTTTATATATAATAATAAATAATAATAATAATAATAACAAACAATAATAAATAATCATTACCCAATATATTTTGAGATTAATAAGTTAGGAAGATTACTATCCTGGTGCAATCTAGTTGATGAACAATTTAACAGTTCAGCTTTCTGAATTGATTCATCTAGTGGATGACTTGTATAGAATGATTCTGGGTGGTGTTTATAATTTTTTGTATCTAACAAGTATTTTTCTGAATTAATGATTTTTTGTCGATTAGCTTCTGCTAATTTAATAATTTTTTTTTCTCTTTTAAATGAGAAATAGTATTTTCCAAAACAATTATGAATTTCTTCAGCTGTTGGTCTATTTTCTGGATTATGATCCCAGCATCTTTTGATCAATTCAGCACAGAATTTAGGAGTATCATCAGTGATTTGAGGTCTTGCCCTATTTAAAATATCTAATATGAGATGAGGATTATGTTCTCTATCATGAAAAGGTTTTTTCCCTGAAGTATGTTCCCATATTATCATTCCAAGGCTATAAATGTCTGATTCCTTTGTATATGGTTTTTTTGATAATACTTCAGGTGCCAGATATGGAATGACACCAAAGATTTTATTTGGATTATCTTTTTTAACTACTTGTTGACATAATCCTAAATCTCCTATTCGGCTATAATTAAGAGAGTATGAAAAAATATTACCACTGTGCAAGTCATGATGGATGTAATTACTTTCATGAATTTTCTTTAATCTAGTTCATAAAAAAAAACAATATATTATTATTATTTTACTACATATTTATATAAAAATTAATAAATTTAAAAAACCTACCCTTCTGAAATCTTATATATTGAATAAATTTTATGTTCCCAAGTAATTTCTTTGAAATTTTTTAATAAATTATTATGTAAATCTCCATTTGGGGCATAGTCAAATACCAATGAGTAGTTATTCTCATTTGGATCTTTAGTAACTCCGTAACATTTGTTAACAAAACGTCCAAATTTATTACTTGTTTTTAACTAAAAATTATTATAATTATATTCATTATTAATATTTACATTTAATAATAATAACTTTTATAATAGATCAATGTTTACCTCTTTTAAAACATCTAAAATTTGATCATTGGAATTATATAACTTTTTTAATACAATCATTCTATTTTCAGTAATCCATATTGCTTTGTGTACTTCCCCAAAACCACCTTTAGCCAAGTATTCAATGTTTTTAAATTCATTAAATGGAATCCATTTCATATAATTACTATTGCCTGCATTTTGTTTACATTCATCAAGAAATATAACTATTTTTTTATTTCCAATTTTTTTTGTTTGACAACTATCACATAATACTCTTTCATCTATTTTGTAATGTACATTATTTAATTCATCACCTAATTTATGGATTATTTCTGCTTTCCTATCTTCATTTTCTTCCTTGTCTAATTCTTCTGAAATCTTTTTTAATTTGTTTAATGATTTATAAAATAAATCAGAATTATTTTTTTGTACATATTTCTTACAACCAGTACAATTTTCTAATATTTTTAATGTGTCAAGTAATTTGTTTGAATTAATTGGTTCATTTGATTCATTTAGTTTGGTGAGCAATTTACATAATGGGTTGAATATATTTTTCTCTCAACACCTATAACATAATGCTATTCTATTTATTTCAACATCTAATTCATTTAATTCATCACTTAATTTATGGATCATTTCTGCTTCCCTATCTTCATTGTCTTCCTTGTCTAATTCTTCAAAGTCCTTTTTTAGTTTGTTTAATGATTCATAAAATAAATCATCATAATTTTTTTGTACACATTTTTTACAACCAGTACAATCTTCTATTATTTTTAATGTGTCAAGTAATTTGTTTGGATTAATTGACGCATTTGATTCATTTAATTTGGTGAGCAATTCACATAATGGGTCAAATATATTCTCCTTTTGACACCCATCACATAATACTATAGTTGTTTTAACATCTAATTTAATTAGTTCATCATTTAATTTATGGATTATTTCTGTTTTCCTATCTTCATTTTCTTCCTTGCCTAATTCTTCTGAAATAATTTTTAATTTGTTTAATGATACATAAAATAAATAATAATTATATCTTGGTATATATTTTTTACAACTGGTACAATCTTCTATTATTTTTAATGTGTCAAGTAATTGATTTGAATTAATTGATTCATTTGATTCATTTAGTTTGGTGAGTAATTCATTTAATGAGTTGAAAATTTTTTCTTCTTGACAACTATCGCATAATACTGTTTTATTTATTTTAACATCTAATTTATTTAATTCATCATTTAATTTATGGATTATTTCTACTTCCCTGTCCTCATTTTCTTCATCATCTAATTCTTCTGAAATTTTTTTTAATTCATTTAATGATTCATAAAATAAATAATAATAATTATATCTATGTGCACAACTGGCACAAGCTTTTATTATTTTTAATGTGTCAAGGAATTTGTTTGAAATAATTGATTCATTTGATTCATTTAGTTTGATGAGTAATTCATATAATGGATTTAATATATTCTTCTCTTGACACCAATAACATAATGTTATTTCAATTATTTCAACATCTAATTTATTTAATTCATCGCCTAATTGATGAATTATTTCTGTTTTCCTATCTTCATTTTCTTCTTTGTCTAATTCTTCTGAAATCTTTTTTAGTTCATTTAATGATTCATAAAATAAATAAATATAATTATATCTTTGTGCACAACTGGTACAATTTTCTATTATTTTTAATGTGCCAAGTGATTTGTTTGAATTAATTGATTCATTTGATTCATTTAGTTTGGTAAGTAATTCATATAATGGATCAAATATATTCTTCTTTTGACACCTATAACATAATGTTATTCTATTTATTTCAACATCTAATTTTTTTAATTTCATTGCCTAATTTATGGATTATTTCTGCTTTCCTATCTTCATTTTCTTCTTTGTCTAATTCTTCTGAAATCTTTTTTAGTTCATTTAATGATTCATAAAGTAAATAATAATAATTATATCTTTGTGCACAACTGGCACAATTTTCTATTATTTTTAATGTGTCAAGTAATTTGTTTGAAATAATTGATTCATTTGATCCATTTAGTTTGGTGAGTAATTCATTCAATGAGTTGAAAATTTCACTCATTTCTTATAATACAAATAATAATCGCAAAATTACAGTGAATCTAAATAGGGTAAAATAATGTTACGCATACAGTCACAGCAAGATGAACGGGATACATAATAATAATAAGAAAATTTTATTTACTTTGCCACAACGGATTATTATTATTATGTTTTTATACAAGCAAAAATTTTAAAACCCCATCACGACAAGAATTTAATTATAGTTCGCTGTGGCAAGGTTTGACTGTATTATTGTGATTGATCACCTTTAAATAAACTTAATTTTTTGTTCACTATATTTCTTAAGATTTGCTTTGAACAATGGATATATCCAGTAAGTGGGATTCCTATTTTAACGAAACATTGCCCGACCAGTATTGTTTACCAACATCGTTTAGAAAAGGATGACTTTTTTTTTCATTTCAAAAAGATGCAGATAAACTAAAAAAAGTTCTAATCTCTACAGAAAAATACTAACTCGGAAAGAATTTCAAACGATTAAAGTAAAAATTTGAGGAAAGTATTTTTGTAATGTATGACCAGCAGGCAGTACAGAAGGTATCCAGAGCCTGAGAAAGGGTCAATTTCACATAACTACGATAGGCTTCTGCTTGTAGCCTGTTTTACGATTTGCTTCGTTGTGGTCTACCGAAAGGTAGTATGGGAGACCTGAGAAAGGGTCAACTCACATAACTATGTCAGGCTTCTGTTTGTAACCTGCTTTATGATTTGCTTGTTCATTATGGTCTGCTTTTTTTGCCAGTGGTTTTTCTTTGTAGTATTTATCACATTACATGTTCAGTGCTCAAATATTATTATTTCTTTTAGAATCACCGAGCCAAATATCAGAATGTTGACGAATATTGAATTCAAGTTGTAGAGCCTCGCCAACGAGTTCCAAACTTTTCATGTTTCTCCCAATTAATTCACTTCTAACTCACGGTCATACATGTAAAAGTTCCACAGCAGAGATTTTTACAGTGGTTTTGAAGGCATCGATTTCTTCCAAAATTTTGATATGCTTCATTCGAAAGCCTGTTGAGCAAGGAAAATAAAAGAATCCGCAATTTTCCCAAACTTTTCCAGATCCCATAAGTTTACGCCATTCCTGTGACCTTATTTTGAATTCTGTAAGAAGAGAGTAAATCTATAAGCGGGCAAGAGAATTAATTTCATGCATACGATACAGTGATTTATGATACAAAGCGAAAAAGACCTCTGATAATAAAGAAATCCTCTCCTCAAGCTGTTTCATAAACTTGGCTTGACAAGAATGGATGGAGCTGAAAGCTCTTGTGGTGACCAAAGGTGAAGGTAGAACTCGCTAAAAAGAAATGAATACTCTACGTCTTTATTTAACGTCACATGACATAAATCAAAAATATCTTTCGCAGAATCATGATCCAAGACTAGTTTGCACTGCAAAAATTGCTTTCAAAAACCAAAATTTTTTAATCAAGTTAATTCACTTAATAAACTACAAAGAGCTCGAGAATACCATTATTATCCTTTATATATATATCTAAATTATTCTTTATTTTATATACAATTATTTGTAATAGAAGTAAATTCTAAATAAAAATATAAAATATAAAAATATCAAAGGTACAAGGAAGCAGCAAAAATTATACCACGCCTTGTTTTTTCAATGGCCTCTTTAAATTTCTCTTCTAATTCACTATTCCCAATACTCTTTGATGCTGCAATCATTCCTCGTAATAAATCGTCAAGATAACGAAAAGTACGAACAATTTCTCCTTCAAAAATTGAATCACCCATTTTTATAATTTCTGTAAATGGTTTTCCCTAAATCCATCAAAAAAGTATTAATATTAAAAAAATTACCATAAAAACAAAGCATGGATATTATTTTTGACTGCTTACACAACACCAGTTATAAACAATTTCCATCATATCCGAAGGAAACAAGCTTAGGTATTCCTCTTTATTCAATGGGATGTTACACTCAACAGATACTGTAGCAACATTTTGTGCAACCTCTTGTAATTTACTGTAAACTGTAGAAAATTCTTCTTTAACAAATCCTGATTTCTTATCACTAGGTCGCTCTAATACAAAACAACTTAAAAGGGCTGCAGCCATTTCTGGTGATAAATCATTAAATACACCATTCAACAACATTTCAGTTAATACAAGTTCATCCCCTGCATTAATCTCACAAGCAACACGCCCTTTAATTGTAACAACATCATTTTCTGATAAATATCCTAATCGACGAAGAACTCTCTTACGGCGCCTAAGATCATCAAGTTGTAAAATAGATTCTGCAATATTAATTGTCTTTTTTAACGATTTTATCTTAAGTTTGAGCTCATTCTTTTTACAGTGTAGTTCATATAGCTTAGGTAGTTTGTCTGTATTGTGGAGTTTATTGGTCACAAGTTTTGTTTCTAAAACCTCAATTTTCTAAAACACATATAGTTATTAAATATACATTATTTCATTTCAAAAAAAAAAAAAATATTAAAATATTTAAATATGTCTAATTACTTTTATTAGTCTTTGAAAGTTCTCTTCTTCAATACCCATATGCTCTATTGGATCTAAAAGTGGTATTCCTTCAGCAAATTTTTCTTTAATATCCATTATACTATTGTATACTGTCTTTTTACAATCATCATGTGTTAGATCCTTGGGTGGAAAGATACATATTTGACTTATATAATTAATAGTAGAAAAATCAGCAGGAACAATCTAATTTTATAAATGATTAATTTAAAATTTATTAATTGTTAAATGAAAAGGAAGAAAAAAATTACGTAAAATCATAATGATTTATAATACCATCATCTCTCCTAAACCATTTCCACTGTAAGGTTTTGCAGTAATTATTTTATCATCTGCTGGTTTAGCAACATGTGATTCATCAGATTCACAATTTAACATTACATCAACAAAATAATGATCCGGAGGTAAAAAAAGCTCTTGATGATTTGAATTTTCTATTAAATTTTCAACCACTACTTGATTCAAATCTGATTTATCCTCCACTGATTTTAATTCTTTTATTGTTTCATCAGTGGGACTCTATTTTAATAATAATATTGATTATTAATATTTTACTTTGAAATAATTTATAAAATTATTTATTTATATGGTTTTAGATTTGTTTATTTGATTTAAATACCTTTCTTTTTCCCCAAGAAACTACCATACCCCAGCCAAAATCCGCATTTGCATGTTTTATCCAAACTAAACGACCAGGCTTCATGTATTTCAGAATATTAAGTGGATGGTTTATAGTATTCCTTATTTCATGAGTATATGTATCTAATAGTGAACGAATATTGTAATACTCTTTAATTTCTTCTTCTTCAGGTATATCAATTTCTTTATATTCTTTTTCTAGTCTCTGAAGTTCTATTATGAAATTTTCATGTAAATATTTATTTGATATAAAAAAAAATTATTTCTAGCCAATTAATAATCTTTACCTGCATCAAGTTTTGGTAATCCTGATGTATTTTGAAATTGATAGAAACTTCTCTGGAGAATATAATCAGGACTAATTCCTTCAACTCTTGTCATATTTAAGATCATATTATATTTCAAATGAAATGCAGAGTATATATTATCAGGTTCGCCCTATTTTTAGAAACAAACAAATTAAATGATTTTTTTAATAAACTGATTAAATAGCTAGTAACTCTTAAATTCTAATTTACCGTCATCATTCCTTTAACAACTGATGGTTCTAATTTTTCTCTTGCCATAATTATTACAATTCCTCTTGTATCAAGACCTCTTCTACCAGCTCGACCAGACATTTGAATATATTCACCAGAAGTTAACTAAAAATAATAATAATTTATTCAAAAATTAATTTAGATTTTGATTTGACATGATAATAGTGATAACAATCATTGTAAACAACCTACATATCTTACAACTTCACCATCGAACTTTTTAATATCAGAGAATATAACAGTTTTAGCAGGCATATTAAGACCCATTGAGAATGTCTCAGTCGCAAAAAGAACTTTAATTAATCCTTCTTGGAAAAGTAATTCAACAACCTCTTTAAGAAACGGTAATAATCCTGAATGATGAATTGCAACACCACGCTTTAAAAATGGTAACATGTGTTCAATTTGTGGTATATTTTGATCATCTTCAGGAATTAAGTTAAGTGCATTGTCAAATACTTGTTGTATTAAATCCTTTTCTT